TCCTCATTAAAAATGTTAAATGCCAAATAGACACAGGGTTCTATACCCGATACTAGATCAGCCTTTGCTGCCCAAGCCTCTCCCACATGTGCCTCTGTGGCCCGTGTCTCCATGTCCTTCTCATCCAGGCTTTGGTTTGGCATCATGGACGGTGGGAACGCACCTGGGCTCAGGCCCCTCCTACCCTCTGATGAATGAGGGTGGGTAGCAACATAGGTTGGTAGCCAGTGCCGTTGCCTCATGATTGTTGTAATGACTCGGGGACTAGTTTGCATCAGCTTTCCCACCGGGATGGTCACCCCCAGGGTTTCCCAGCCACCTGCCTTGGGTAATGGCGGTGGCCTCGCGATGCATTTTCTTTACTCCTGTCGAGGGTCTCTGAGAAGGAAGGGAGCTTTGCTTCCCACCTCTAGTCCAGGGTGGGTGGGCTCCAGGGCAGTGCTGTCCCGAGGAATGAGAGCCTCTATGGCAGCGGTTCTCAACCTGTGGGTCATGATCCCTTTGGCGGTCGAACAACCCTTTCACAGGGGTCGCCTAAGACCATCCTGCATATCAGATATTTACATTACGATTCATAACAGTAGCAACATTACAGTTATGAAGTAGCCACAAAAATAATTTTATGGTTGGGTCACAACATGAGGAACTGTATTTAAAGGGCCAGAAGGTTGGGAACCACTGCTCTATGGGGACCGTCCAGGGCAGGAGTCACTCACCACAGGCGGTAATTGAGCACTGAAATATATGGCTCATGCGACTGAGGAGCTGAATTCTTTGTTGATTTCATTTCAGTGAATTTCAGTTTAAACACCACCTATGGCTGCCATGTTGGGCGGCCTGGATCTCGAGGACTGGGGAAAGTGGGTCATGCGGGGCCCGAGGGAGAGCTGGGCGGAGGACACCTAATTGCCGGGGCCTCCTACGTGGGCGGGCCTGGAGCTTGCCGTCTTGCGACACAAGTAAAAGCCCTTTTAACCAAATTGGGTGGGGCATCAAAGCTGAATAGCAGCTGCAGGAAAACCCTTCTGTGGTGTTCTGGGCAAGCCATTATTTACTTATGATCTCCTTTAAGAAGAGCAGACACAAAGGCCCTGTACCTGTGACTCCTGGAGCAGGTCCTACACCGTCTTCCTCTGCTTGATTTCAGGAACCATCACATAAATATATACCTGCTGCTCCAAACAAATATAAATGCTGCACCCAAATGACTGATATGCTGGGGGGGGGCGGGGAGGAAAGGAAATAGACTATGACTGAGATAGGCCGTGGCCGGGAGGCCCCGAGGCTGTTATGCTCACTGTGCCTTCCCAGCGTCACTCCGAGTTCAGGGGCTGCCGGTGGTGTTGTCATCGAGGGCATTTCTTGGATGGTGTCTCAGGTCCCACCAGTCCTTTCACTCTGAGAAGTCTGGCACCCTTGACAGCTCCACCACTGTCATCTTAAATTCTCCGTCAGTGAGTCTTCTTTCGGCGTGGTTTCACACAGACACAAAAAGAGGAAGTCGGGCAGGCACAGGCAGGTGGTGGAGGGGAAGGTTAGGGCTGGGCAAGGAGACCGGTACCCAGGGAGGGGGAGCTGCACACATGTCCAGTGTGGTCTTTCCTGGTGTCCTGACAACGGAGTGGAGCCTTGGGGTCCTCCCAGCATCCTCTGCTCATAAAGAGGCCACATGTGTACCCACCTCTCTGCTCTGCCCCAGGAGGGCTCCACTCAGAGAGACAGAGGGACTGGATGCAAGTGGGCCCCGTGCATTCCAGGTCAGGGCAGCAGCCCCTATGGTTCCACAGGAGTGTATCAGAGTCCTCAGTGTCCTCAAAACACTTGGGCCTGCTTTTGTGTTGGAACAGGGGAAAATTTTCTTAGTAAATGCAATTTACTAGAAAGGAAAGACTCAGGAAGTCAGCCTTGCCCTGAAGACCAGATGATGCAGCTGACAGAGAGCGGCTAAGCCAGGTGGATGCACAGGTGTTCCCCCCCTGCCCCCGCCCCCCATGTTTCTCAATCGCTTCTCGCCCACCCCTGTGGCTGGAGGGGTTGGAATGCAGGTGACTCCTAATGGGAAGGTGCCATGCAAAATGACAGCGCTTCTTAGATGTGATTTGATTTCAGCACCCTCAGAGGTATGGGGGAAGGTCAGGTAGCAGGAGAAATGAGAAGCAGCAAAGACTTACTTTGGATTGGAAGTACGGGTTCCAAGTCAGTGAGGCCTTTCACACATTCCAGCCGTACATTCTTGCCCTACCTTCTTGATTGGATGTTTAGTTTTGGGAATATTAAACTCCAGTCATTCTGGCTGAAATGATAACAGGGATTGACTTGTGAAGGTGCCGGTTTTAGAGGAGGTTTGACTCGGTGACTGAGTGACATTCTCCAGAACCCTCTTTCCCTATTTCTCTGCCCCTGCCCCTTTGTGGAGCCAGCCCCACTCCTTTCGGGTTCCATGATGACTGCTGGCAATGTTCAGGCTCAGAGCTTCCCCAGCCCACGGTCAGATCGGAGGGAGAGTGGAGGGATGCGTCTGTTGGAAGAGCTTCTATTCCCAGAGGCCCTCACTGATCTCAGTTGGGTCGAGTCCTCTCTTGAGTCAGTAACTGGGGCTGGGCTCAGGCGAGGCTCATCCAAGTGCCCCACCTCAGAAACCTGTGACAAAATCAGGTTTTCCTCAGACCCAGAGTCATAAAAGAAGTTATTCAACCCCCCAAAAAGAATCAAAGATCCAGTAGTCACTGAGAGAAGGGGAGTCGTTGGGTAGGAAACCCCAACTCTCACTACTCTTTCTATAATTTACCAATCCTTCTTGTGTACTTATCATTGCAGTTTTCTGCCCGAAAACAGAAAGTTGTTATTTTTGAAAATTTACTTTTTACTGCTTTGTGACTCTTAAACTTCCTTTGTTCCCCCTCTTCCCTTCCCTCTCCTCCCTCCCTCCTCTTTTTTCTCCCTCCTTCTTCCTACTTTTTCTTGTTTTCCCTCCCTCCCTTTTCCTCTCTCCCATTTCCCCTTCCTTCCCCTCCTTTCCCTCCTCTTCCTCCTGGTCTCTTCTTCCCCTTTATTGTCAACTGGCGATCTAGTCATTTATTTAACTCAACTAAGTTGGTTCAGCACGATGTAGTTTCTCACTAAATAGAATGCCTTCCCATTTGTCCTCCAGGAAGAAGAAATGCCAGATGTAGAAATTGACATTGATGATCTTCTTGATGCAGACAGTGAAGAAGAGAGAGCTTTAAAATTACGGGTAAGCAGCTTTCAAAATCTAGAACCTTCCCGTTGTAGGTGCTTGAATCCACTCAGGGTTCCTGAGCTTGCAGAGGGGAAAGCAATGGGATGCTAAGTATTCACCCTCATGAAGCTCATCTCTGATTCTCTGACGGTAAAGCAGTTCTTGACAACAGTCAGTTCTCGAAGCACCTTATGGATGTGAGTTTTTCCAGCCTTTTCTTTTGGGAGGGAGAGCTGGCTCTTCCTCTTGAGATCCATTTGCCAGAGAAGGAAGAGATGCCCAACAATTGTATGAGAGGGAGAAGGGCTGAGCTGGAACTGGGTGTCTAAACTCAGGACTCCGGTCTTGCAGTTGTGGATTATATCATTCATGACATTCATTTCTACATAAGATTATGTACAACATAATTCTGTTTAATAAAGTTTCTTTTACTAGAGTATGCTCACCTGATAGCATCCTGGTACATGCTGAGATGTCTCATGTTTCCTTGGCCCACAGTAATACAATATTTATTTCCCTTCCCAGAAGAGGTCAAATCTATCATTTAAAAATCTGTATTTGGGAGTTTCTAAAACCAGTCAACCTTTGACTTGCCAATGTTTTGAATGTTCACAGGTAATTACTGTTAATGGTGGTTGGTTATTACCAGGGACAAATGATCGCTAAAGGCAATTAAAGGGCACATTTTAATGTTTGAATGTGTTAATAATTACTAACATCCCTTGAGTGGCGAACAAGTCTTGGTTTAATGATTATATCTTGTTGGTAAATTTAAGTGGGAGATGAAAGTTAAAAAAAGGAAAGTGGGCATCAGTTTTATACAGCATGGAATGACATCAAGTTTTCC